ATATCCTAATTACAATTTCCTCTCCATCTACTCTTCCTAGTCCTCTCCACCTCCTCTCCCATCTGGATCCACTCCCTTTCTGTCTCTCATTAGAAAAGAATGGGCTTCTAAGAGATAACAACAGAATATAACAAAATAAAATATAGTAAGATAAAACAAAAGCCTTCACATCAACGTTGATGGACAAGACAAACCAACAGAAGGAAAAAGAGAGCCCTAAGAGAAGGCACAAGAATCAGAGATCCACTTGCTCACACACTCAGGAGTCCCCATAAAACTACTAAAATTAAAGTGTGTGTGTGTGTGTGTGTGTGTGTGTGTGTGTGTATGCACACATGCCAAGGACCTGATGCAGGCCCATGCAGGGCTTGTGCTTGCTGCTTCACTCTCTGTGAGTTCACATGAGCTTTGCTCAGTTGATTTAGAGGACCCTGATATCCTGGTGCCCTCCATTCCCTCTGCCTCCCACATTCCTTCTAAAACCTCTTCCACAGGTTTCCCTAAGCTTTGAAGGGAGGATTTGATGGAAACATCCCTGTAGCAAGCTTCTCATCAGACTTTCTTGGACCACCAGCCTGCAAATAACTACATGGAGACTATTTATTAATTATAAAACCTTGGCCATTAGCTTAGGCTGGCCAAGTAGCTCTTATAACTCAAATTAACCTATTTCTATTAATCTACATTCTGCCACGTGGCTCAGTTACCTCTGCTCTGTACCATTCGTCCGACTTCATCAGAGTCTCACTGGCTTCACCATACACCTAGATTTCTCCTCCTAGTTTCTCTCTCTCTCTCTCTCTTTTCCCCCTCTCTCTCTCTCTCTCTCTCTCTCTCTCTCTCTCTCCCCCTCCCTCCCTCCCTTCCTCCCTCCCTCCCTCTCTCTGTCAGTCTCTGCCCAGAAAACCCACCTATACCTCTTGCCTAGCTATTGACTGTTCAGCTTTTTATTACACTAATCACAGCAATACTTTTTTTTCCTTTGGTTTTTCAAGACAGGGTTTCTCTGTATTGTTTTGGAGCCTGTCCTGGAACTCCTCTCTGTAGAACAGGCTGGCCTTGAACTCACAGAGATCCGCCTGCCTCTGCCTCCCGAGTACTGGGATTAAAGGTGTGCGCCACCAACACCTGGCCCTCAGCAATACATCTTCACACAGTGTACAAATATCCCAGAACACATCCCATTTAGAACTCTATGCTGAACAGCACTGCCATTATAAGAGAAATGGCAAATTTCAGGTTCCAGGATGGGAACATACAGATCACACCAAGACACGTATTATAATAGAAAGCAAGAAAGTATTCAAATACCATTACGATTATGTTAAAAGGAGACAGGAACTGTGTAGCACCACCTACCAAATTTGTATTTCAGCATCATACAAAATAATGGTGAAAAGTGACTGTGACATACGAAACATATTAAAATCTACTAGACTAAATGGCACTGGAGAGAAAAAGTATGTCGAATCTCTGGAAACCATTATGCCAAGCCCTTATTCTAAATATCAGTGATTAAAGAAAAAGCAATTGGGCACTTACTTCTCTTGCCTTTTTAGCACAGTGTATGTCCAGGTAACCAAATGAGCCTAACAAACAAGAGAAGGGAGCATCTTTATTGAAGACTGTCAGATAAAAACTAAGGAAGGAATGATAGAATCAGAAAGGAAACCATCAATCAGAAAACCATTCAAAGCCAGTTGATTCAGAAAAGAGGCACAAATTTCTGCAAAGGCATTTAAGAGGAGGAGTTAATGAGACTGCATAGGCAATCCACTTAACACCAAGGTAGCACCCCTCACATTACACCAATCAAATTGAGTTTATTAGAGCAAAGCAAAACAAAACCTAGTCACAAATCAGAGCAAGGTCTGAGAAATCCAACCAATAATATGATAAGATGGCATTTAGAGAAAATGGAAGAGAACCAGAAAGCAAGGCAAGTACTACAGCTTCGGTAACTAGTCACCTGGTTACCACTGTGCTAATTACTTGGCTGCAGCATTTCTTACAACCATGATTAAATTATACTGGTTTGGTAGACTCTAATGGATCCAATTCAAGTAAATGGCCTCCCACAAAAGGAAAACTGTGACAGATTATCTAGCTGACATGACCTGAAGCAGGTGACCAAAGTTAGTAACAGTCAAGCATAGTGGTACACACCTGTAATATCAGCATTTAGAAGGATCACCAGCCTGGGTTACATGGTGTCTTAGTTTGGTTTATATTGCTGTCATAAACATTATGACCAAAGCAACTTGGGGAGGAAAGGGTATATTTCAACTTACAGCTGTAAAAGTAAGGAACCTGGAGGCAGGAACTTTAAACAGAGGCCATGGAGGACCATCCAGGACTACCTGCCTAGGGGTGGTATAGCCCAGAGAGCTAGGCCCTCCCACATCCATCATTAATCAAGACAATACCACACAGACTTATCTACAGGCAATTCCCCAATTGCAATTTCCTCCACCCAGATATGTCTAGGTTTGTGTGAAGCTGATAAAAACCATCCAGCACACACAGCAAGACCCTGTCTACAAACAAACAAAATGAGACTCTTCATCATATGCCTTATGGTGTAATATGGTATAAATAATGAGTCTTTCTATCATGTATTAATAAAACTTGTGTTTACAACAAGGAATTCAAATCTTTTAATCTTCCCCACCTTGCAAGTATTTTATACATATGTTTCAATCCCCCATACACCAGGTAAAATCTTGTTTACACAAAGGCCACCTGCCGTATTCCAGGAATTAGATGGAGCAGTGACCCTTTCCCCTTCTTCATTTCATGTGAGACAATTCTTTCCAGTCTAGCCAACTGAGTAAGATTGTGAAGTCAGACCCCAGCCAGTGTGGAAAAGACACAGTCACCACCTGAGTTGGAATAAAACCAAAAGGAGCACTTCTTGTCTCTGTAGGTTCAATCTCCTGAGCACACCTTCTGGATCAAAAATGAGGTTTGCCTTTGCTAAAGTGGTGGTCTCTTTCATTTCCACCCAGAACTTATTTATTTATTTTGGTTTTTCGAGACAGGGTTTCTCTGTGTAGCTTTGGAGCCTATCCTGGCACTCACTCTGTGGAGACCAGGCTGGCCTCGAACTCCAGAACTTATTTTTTAACATGATCTAGTTCACAGATTCCTTGGGAGGCATTCTTGCTAAAATTGTTTAACTTGGATCTCGTCAAGTTTACATCCAACTTCCATTTCATGGAAAATGACACAGAAGAAAAGGCTAAGCACAAGACACAGACCATGCAGAATGAAGACCAGTCAATTCCAAGATCTGTTCTTTTACAATGTTATTTTTTTAATGAGGGAATTAAATTTAAAAAATAAATTCACTGGGCAGTGCTAGTGCATGCCTTTAATCCCAGAAGGCAGCGACAGGTGAATCTCTGTGAGTTAGAGGCCAGCCTGATCGAGTTCCAGGACAGCTTTCAAAGCTACAGAGAAACCCTGTCCCAAATAAATAAATACATAAATACATGGTAATATCTCAGAAACTCTACAACACCCAAACCTTTCCCTAAAATCTTTGTTTTCTGAATAACTGCCCAGTCTGGCCTCAAACTCTTGCCTTCAGGAATATTCCTTCCCCAGTCACCCAAGTAGCTGAACTTTGAGCATGCCCCCACTGTACCTCTTAAAACCTTTTATTGAGAGCACTCACCTGTGACATTTTTCTCAGCAGTATAAAATTGAATTTGTGGAGCTTAAGTTAGATAAGCACTCGTTTTCACTTTAGAACATTATGTAGATGCCTAGTTTGAGGTATTTGTATACTCTCCTCTTGAGTATACAAATTACTAAAGTGTGCTATACAAATTACTAGAGTGTATATTTATCTTTGTCACCCATAAATTGAGATAGAGTCTAAAGAAACAGTCACATGACTATTTCAATTTATGCCTGGTATGTACATTACTAATATAACACTTTCGTTATTTTAAATGATAAATGAAGAACTCGATGTCAATTTCTCTTCCAGTAGAGTAACCATCTAACAAATAGAACATGAAGAGTTGATGAGTGAGACGGGCTCGACAGCTATACTTCTGTAACAGAACAGGTAAAGTCACCTACTCAAGCATCTGAGGGACAAGTTTGAGTGCTGTAGAAACTATGCTTCTCAAACATCAGGGCACATACTAACCACTGGGGATAGTCAGAATTCAAAATCTGATTCAGTAGGTCTGTAATGGCACCCCCAAGTCTAATATGCTCGGGTGCTGCTATTGCTGTTGCTCTGTGTTTTGAGTAACAAGGCACCTTCACTATCACCAGTAGCCCAAACTTTACAACTTTTAATGGTCAATTACTGCAGTAGCACTATTTGGCAGTTAAGAATGCTCGAACAAGTTTCTCGAGGTGACAGAGCCAAGAAATTAGGGCTCAAACATAGGCTGATTCTTGGTTCCCAGAGTAACTCAATTTATAGGCAGATCTAAGAGTTCACAGCAGGTCCAGAACTATTTTCGATAACATTCTTATGGGTAGGGTCCTGGTAGAACTACTGCGCCTCTGAAGTAAACAGAAGTCGGGCTTCCTGCACATAGAGGTGAGCAAAGGCGGCGCTACGGTTGCCTGGACCTTCAGGGGTTCCTGCCCGGGTTCAACGCATAAAACCTTCCGGCCTGGGGCAGGTCCTCCGGGTGGTCCGCAGAACGGCGTGGGGGCGGGGCCTACGCGTGAGAAAGGTTCCGGGCAGCCCGTACCACCGCGCACAGGGGGAGTGGTTTCTCAGGGCCCGGTTGCGTCGCGCCTCAGCGCCGAAGGGGCGAGGCCGAGGCGCTCCGACACTGGTCCTTCCCACACTTGGCGGGTGCCGAGCGGCGAGTGCGCGCTCTTCCTCACAGCCCGCTCCCAAACTCTTCCCTCGGCCCCCTCGACCGAGTGGAAGGCCCCGGAAATAGGGGCCAGCCTGGGAGCGCGGCGGGCCCGTCCCCAGCTCCGTTGCCCAGCGCGCAGGCTCCCCGGTCGCTCGCCCTTACCAGCTCTTTGGGAGGCTTCTCCTGGGTTTTTCCAAACAGCCCCATGACGAGCTGGACTCCTCTTAGCCTTTCCGACTTCCCGTTCCCCGCGCCCAGGCAGGTCACGGGCAGCCGCCTGGGCGGGGCCGCAAAAACAGGGAATCTCGACGCCCAGAGAAGGGCGCGGCGGCAGCTGGGGAAGTACGCACGCGCGCTGCGCAGGCGCAGAATTGAATTGGGTGGGGTTTATAGTCCAGGTGACGCCATTGCGCAAGTTATGAAGGCGCTTAAATGAAGCATAGAAATAACTTAAGTATTGACTGCGTTCAAAACCTGTCAGTTATTCCAGAAACCTGTATCTCAACGCTGTCACGCTTATTTACCACCATTTCCCAGATATTTGTGTGTGACTTGCTCTAAGTCCGGGAGTCACCTCACAGGCTGCAAACCTACTCTCCTCTTGGCACCTAACTCAAAAACGACCGTCGTCTTATTTCCCCTTTTTAGGAAGTCTCAAAAGTTCTAACTTTTCATCGAGTCAGAACTTGAGCCCTCTCATTCCATCCCAAGTGTGGAAGCGTTTCTTCAGGCTGCCATCCATTTTAGATCTGTAGGGGTGATCTATGCTGAAGCCTTAGAAGAAGAGGAGATAGAGATAACAGATTACAACATTCGTTTCACTTCTAAGATTAACGTTAAACAGACCTGCAGGCATCCGAGCTGAAGCTAATTTCTGAAGAAGAGATAACAAAGGACTTCTATTCTGCACCTATCAAAGAAAGGGATTCATAGACAGGAGAACTTGGCCCCACTAGAAGAGCAGGAAGTGCTCTTAAATGCTGAGCCACTTCTCCAGCCTCACCATATATATATAATCTTTAAAACTATTTCATTCACTGAAACCTTAAAGATGATTTTTTTAAAGTAGAACTAAGTTAACTGTTCTCTAACAGAACAGAACAACCCAGAGCCTTAGTCTGTTTCCTCTGGGAAGGGACGAGTTAGGATATCTTACAGTTAAGTATTCATATGTTCTAGCTTTTGTATCAAAGCTTTCCATTAATTGTAATATAACCACTGGCAGGATGAGGGAGGAAATCAGACTCCTCCCATTTGGCCAGACTATTGCTATGTCCATTTTTCTTCACAACTTCTTTCCTTTTTTTAAATGAATTTCATACATGAATGTAATGTTTTGTTCAAATTGATTCTCCCAACTCCTTCCTTGGCCTTTACTGATTTTTGTTTCCTAGTGTCTTTTAAAATACAAAAGGACTAAACTAGCAGGTTTAGTCCAACTGTGATCCACTTTCACTTAAGGAGTCACCCAGATGGACACAAGATACTAAAACAAAGCCTTCTGGCCTATCTAAGCTACCTCTTCAGGCAAATGTCGAGGTCTTCCTAAACGTGGATATTCCTTGTGTTTTGTCAGTGGTCCATTTGTATATTCTGCACTGGTTAGATACCCTGTTGTTTTGTTTTTAGAGCATGCAGATAGACCTTTGTTCACTTCTGTTTGCTTTCAGAGCAATTGTTTATTTGCTAGCAATTGAACCTTTTCTTCCTGCCACTCCTTCAACAACTAATTCTAGTTGCTTATAGCAAGCTTGCTTCTTTTAATTTAGAAAGTCTATCAGTGCCTGATCACAAAGATGCTGACCATAGAGGCACTTGTTCCTAGCAAGGGACAAGGAATGTGGGAAGCCTCTCCCCAGCATGTGCAGTAGCCTTAAAGGGAAGCACAAAACAATGGACCCCAGTATGGTTGAAAGAAGACTTACTGGCTCTACTGGGAAAACACACATAGGCAACGACCACAATGTCTTCAACCCCTCTGCATCCCAATAAATTTACAGGATAATCTGAGACACTGTGAAGAACTGACCTTGGAATGAGACATAATATTTATTTTGTGTCCCTTTACACTTTAAAGTAGTATATGTTCATTTTACAAAATCATTATGCTTCCATATGACTGAACCACGTGATTTGTTCCTATTCACCCCATTATCTTTTCTTGTCTTTTCTCCCCACTGGTACCTTCCTACCCCTAAAGAGTCTCACATGAAAGTAGGCTCATGGCATGCACTGTTCATGACACACACACACACACACAGGAACTGGATTTTACACATGAGAGAAAATGTGATGCGTGTGTTTGAGTCTGGGTTTTCTTTTCATTTGCTTGCTTGCTTAAAAGGAAGTTCTCCAGTTCTATACACTTTCCCTTCAAATGATTTAATTTTATTTTTCTTTATATCCTGGGTAAAACTATATTGAGCATCTATGCCACATTTTCTTTGTCCAATGGTCTGTTGGTGGACATCTAGACTGACTCTGTAAAGCAGCTGTTTGAATATTGCCACAATAAATATAGACATACAAGCATCTCTATGGTGGGCTAACTTGTTCTGCCTATGTGTTTAAAAGTAGGGACACTGGATCTATGATACCTTTGTTTGTTCTCTGGGGTTCCTCAATACTGATTTCAGTAGTGGATACTCTGTTTTATTGCCACCAATGCTACATAAATGTACATTCCCTCACTGCATCCAATGCAGTGTGTGTTGGTTTTCTGGATGAGGGCTTTCCCAGCTGGAGTGAGATGGAATCTCAGAGGAGTTTGCAGGGATGTTGACATTTTTCTCCTAGGTTTGAACTCTGTTCAATTCATTTGCCTATTTGTTGATTGGGTGGAGTGTGTTTTTCCTTGATTTGGCATTTGAGTTTAATTTTTTTAATTCCTGGTTTTGTTTGTTGAGATAAAGTCTCACTATATAACTCTGACTGGCCTGGAACTCACTATATAGACCACGCTGGCCTCAAACTCATGGAGGTTTGCCTGTCTCTGTCTCCCCATTGCTTGTATGAAAGGCTGAGGTCTCCATGCCTGAACTAACTTTTTGAGTTCTTTATATATTCTTATGTAGAAATGGCAAGGATTTTCTCCCTTTGTATAGGCCTTCTTTTTGGTATTTGTTACACAAAAGCTTTTCATTTCATGCAATTTCATTTGTCAGTTATTGCAATTATTTCCTGGGTGGTTGGGGTCCTTCGCCTATTCCCAAGTTTTGAAGTTTTTCCTATATTTTCCTCTAGAAAGTTCAAAGTTTCAAGTCTTATAATAAGGTTCTTGATCGATTTGAGATTTAATTTGTTCAAGGCAAGATACAGGGATCTAGTTTTATTCTTCTGCCTGTGGCTATCCATTTTCTCAGCACTACTGATTGGGAAAAGACAGTCTTTTACCAATGTATGCTTTGGGCATCAGGTAACTGTACCTGTGTGTGTAGGCTTCCTTCTGAGTTCTCTATTGTAGCTCACTGCTCTAAATGCTTGTTTTTGTCCCAGCACAGGGCTGTTTTTATTTCTATGCATCTGTAATGTGATTCAAAACCCTCTAGTTCTGCTCTTTTTATTCAGAATAGACTTGGCTAATTCTGTGTCCAAAAGATGTTATGTAACAGCTTCCTCCCATATTGAAACATTGTATCCTGCAGGGAAGCTCCATTAACAGGAAAGGTAAACAAGCCAAAATAGCTTAAGGAAATCCCTAAAACTGACCAAATTCACTAAGCACCTCCCTTCCAGAGAAAGCAGTAAAAGCTGCAAAGAAGACTCCCAGGCAAGCCAAGTTGTAAAGAAAGATCACAGACCAAACTAGCTGCCTGGAAGAAGTGGAAACAAGCCAAGCTGGCTAGAAGAGGTGTAGTCCAACTCAGTCATCTGGAAAGACCAGTCTCCAACCTATTGAGTTGCTGCAGTCTGTGCTCCAGGCTCCCAGCTTTGTGAGCTGTCATGGATGCTTGGGTGGGCTTTGGTAATGCAGCTCTCTGAGTCATTTCTGAACGGAACCCCTGCACAGTGGGGGCGTCCTCCTGAATCCCAGATTAGGCACAAACCACACCCAAACACCTGTTTTTGAAAAGAGATCCTTTATTAAGAGTGGAAGAAAAGTTAAAGTGGCTGCTTTCTGACTCACACAGAAAAACAGCAGCAAATGATCTTGCAGGTGTGTGTCAGAATGGTCTATGTGGTAAAGGAGATAGGGAACAAGGGAATGGCGGAAAGAGTGTTTGTCCCAGAGGGACAAAGGACTGCCTCTGGATACAGAGGAAACAGATGTGGAACATAGGAAAATGGCAGTTTATAAAGGCAAAGAAGGGGGAAATCCCATGTTAGGATGAGGTGTTTAATTTTAAATTGAGCATGCTAATTAGGTGAACCAAAGAGGGTTTTTGATTTCTGGATTTCAGTACTTTGATAGCTGGACTTTTGGTGACTAGCTTTAGGAATGTAACCTACAGTTTTTAGCAAGACGGGGGGATGGGAGAGAATGGCAAGACCTGCCAGAGCCACATGCTCAAGTGGGCTAGTGTCCCTTGGATTTCTTCTCCTATAAGTAACCCCACCCATATTATTGTAAGTAACCCCAATAAAACTCTGGTTCACCAAGATAGACTTTGGTGGAATCAACACTTTGTGCTTCCTTTCGGGGGTGGGTAGGCATAAGTGTTTTATTCCCTAGGAAAAGTTTTGTCATACAATATGAATTTTAGGATTTTTTTTCTATTTCTTTGAACAATGTCACTATAATTTTGATAGTAATTGGACTGCTCGATTGAAGTAACAGCCATTTTCACAATACTAATTCTGTGAACTCATGAGCATGAAGCTTTTTCTATCTTTAATGTCTCCTTCAATTTCCTTCAGGGTTTGAAAATTTTTGTTGTATAGGTCTTTCATTTCCTTGGATAGTGACTTAGTTCCTGTTCTAATGCTGTGATGAGATATCATGACCAAGGCAACTTCTAGAAGAAAGCATTTAATTAGGGGCCCGCTTACAGTTTCAGAGGGGTAGTCCATGGCCATCACAGTAGGGAGCATGGAAGCACACAACAGGCATGGTGCTGGAGTAGCAGCTGAGAGCTCACATCTTATCTGTAAGTTGTGGACAGAGAACAAGCTAGACTGGGCCTGAAACCTCAAAGTCTACCCTTGTGACACACCTCCTCCAACAAGGCCACACCTCTTAATCCTTCCCAAACAGTTCAACTAACTGGGGGCCATGCTTTCAAACATGAGCCTATGGGGGCCATTCTCATTCAAACCACAGTTAGTTTATTTCTGGGTGTTTGTCTTTTATTTTTCTTAGGCTATTGTAAACTGGAACTTTTCCCCTAACATAT